GCTAATTTTTTCTTTGTCATTATTATTACTCCAACACCAAATCTCATCCCTCAATCTCCTTTCTGCCGCATCCGCCGCCAATTCTCTCAAACTCTTTCCTTCCCCACCACCAGCAGCACCACCACCGACCGTCCTTCCACCACTATACATAATTCCTCTGATTCCAACTCGTTTTTCGGCTGCTTCAAGCATCTTCCCCCGTGCTTCATGATATGATACATTATGTGACGCACCTGCGCTGAGGGAATATGGTTTTGAAAAGAAGCCGTCTCCAGAATAACCTCGAGCAAGAAGAACGTAATACTCGGAATGTAATTTGTCCAGTAGGGAATAGAATTTTGCGTCGTGTGGGCCATGAATTATATGGGTTAGTCTTTTATGAATTTCGATAAGTTGGAGAAGAGGAGGGCAAGGAGGAGAATGGGAAAAGAAAAGCGTCGGTTGGTTAATTTGCATAGAGCAGGGATAAAGAATTACGCGTGAAAAATACAAATCAATGCGAACAAGTAAAATGTGACATCCTTACTCGTGGAGCATAGTCCCCACTAAACTCTCGAAATCAATAAACGAATTCTCGTTACCAGGTCGTCGAAGTCTGATTTTTATTATACTTCCGTAGTCAACATTAACACCTGATTTGATGCAATTAATTTCAAGAGCTCGTAAACTTTCTCTTGGCAAGGCATAAACAATACTATAACAATACACATAATGTAATGCAATGCGAACATACTACCCACCAAGCAAACGCGGATCCGTGGGATTGAATTCTTCCAAACGGCCTACACGCCAAGAATGGCTTTTCATTATTGGTTTTACCTAGGGGATCGCGAGGGACCATTTGTTTAGTCATGTTTCAGTTTGAGAGCGTATAACCAACTGTGTCTGACTACAAATTGCGTTCTCCCAAGACGAACCTGTGACGCAATGCGTTTTAACAAATTCGTGGCTTCTTCATGGTTTTTGTATTTTGTAAGGGCCTTGTATGAACCCACAAGATCAGAGTTGCTCGTAAACATTAAAGGTAGGTGAATATATATGTTACGGGAGAATAAGAAAGTTTTGTTACAAATACAAAAAGCGGGTGACGGGAACAAAGAACGGAGGCCAAATGTTTAAATCCCGAGCAGTTGGGGTTACGTAACTGCCATAGTTGGACACAATACGTAAGCTTTCCAAAGATTTGGAGCAAATCGAGTATATGCTAGAACTAATGTTTCACCCGTTTGACTTCTTTATTTGATTGATATGTCTCTTTCATAATCTTATTCATAAAGTCAATTGTTTCATTCGTTTTATGACGACTCAATTTCCTTAGTTTTTTCCCTTCCATGCGTCATTCCAAGGAGAAAAAAAAAAGTCCAGATAGATAAAAAAAAGATGTTATTGATACACATAGACTATAATCTATTTACAAGCAATTGAGAGGGGAAGAGTGAATGACGCATGAAAAAGTAGGGAATCTT